GTTATTTTCACATGTGAAAATATCGGTTTTTCGAAAAGGAGAAATATAGGTATTTTATGGATAATTATATGATAAGATAAATTATTCAATATCAAACAAATTAGATGTATCGATGCGCAGCTAGCGAATTCAAGTGTTTTCCATAGAAAGCTTAAAAAATTGTATCTGAAATTTGAAGCCCCGAATAAGAACAAAAACTACTTGATTGGCTTCCTATATTATTGAATAATCTGGTTTTCTTGTTTTTCATAGGTTTTCCATCGTTAAAACTTTTTTTCTTCTATTTTTGTTATGATGATTTTTTCATGTTTGTTACGCCAAACAGCAAATTGCTAAATGCGACATTCCTCAGTAATATCAAACTGGATATAATTTGTTCGATTAGAAATGCAACATTCTTAATACATTAATTACTAGTGCATGATTATTATGATTATTATAATAATTACTATATGATTATTATCATTTTTTCAACGTTATTTTTACTTTTCTTAATAGTTTTGCTTTGCTTTTTTTCTTTTCTTTTTTTCAGACAAACCAGACAACACAAACATCAGCCATTCTTCAAACAAAACAACATTTTGTCTTGGAAGTCTCATAAACATTACTTGTACATCTAATGCAAACCCTCCTGTTGATAACTACACTTTGTATCGAAACGAGGAATGGGTTCAGGAAAACAATGTTGGTTTATTCAAAGTGATGCTGGACAAAAAAGGGATAAACAGGTTTATGTGTGAACCTAGAAACAATGTTGGAGTCGGGGAAAACAAAAGCTTAACTCTTATCAACGTTACAGGTTTGTATGATCAATCCTTGTAACATTTAAAGCGTGGTTAATATGCAACTACTTCTGACCAGATTAGTGCTATACGTCGTAATGTTAATTTCCCGTCATCTGTCTTGTATTTACTGGAAAGCCAAATACTATAAAATGATCTTTTAGGATGAAAACTTTCAAACCTAATAGCTTAAATGCAATAAAGAAAAGAACGCATTTCGACTCGCAGACACGCTAAAACGCAGAATTAAAAAATTGAAGGATTTAAGTAAATCAGGAAAAAAAATCGTTATAGTAAGCTGATGTCTTGCTTTTGTTATTTTTGTAAGTATTCTTTTAGGAGAGCTTATCTTTAAAAGCGAATAAAAAACAATTCTTTGAATTTCTTTCCATGCAGAACCACCAAAAATCAGTAATTGTGCGATATACGAAGGCGAAAAGGGATATGCTTCAGCAGTTGAAGGAAGAAATGTAACTGTGAGGTGTGATATCTCTGGTAGTGAGCCGTTAAACATAACATGGACTAATGGACAGCAAGTGTGGCATGACAACACTGTCACATTTGAACCAGTCAGCAGGAGTGATACTGGTACTTATAATCTGACAGTGAGCAACGGAGAGGAATGTAACAAAACTGAAACGAGTTACTACCTAGACGTGTATTGTAAGTAGAACTGAAGTTGTTCTAGACTATTAATGGTTGTTTTTTTTGGAAAGATGCCCTGCCCTGCCCTGCCCTGCCCTGTTTATTGACATTGAACTGCTTTCAAAATTCCTAATTTTTTCAATGATGTTAACACTTTAGGACAAAAATTAAATATAAAAATAGAAGTAAATTAATAATAGAGTACAAACACTATAAGTGTGTAACATAAATACCACTAAATACTGCTAAATTATGCTAATCCTATTGTTTTCTATTGTTTAATTAGCACTATTTACTACTAATTAGTGGAAAGTGTTGCACACTTTTAGTGTTTGTACTCTAAGTAAATATCTACTAATATTCATTTACGCCCCAGTGATTAGGAAACAATATTGATATTATAAAGTTAACATTGCGACCATTAATAAAATTTAAAAAATGAAAAATGGATGAAAAAATTTCGATTACATTTTGTTAAACATAACCACACTTGATGTCATTATTCAGTAATAATTGCCTTTCCGATCTCATCATTTTCAACATTATCTATTTATTTCCTCGTTTTCTTTTCTTTTTTTAGACAAAGCAGATAAAACAGACATCAGCCATTCTCCAAATAAGACAACATTTTGTCTTGGAAGTCTTATAAACATTACTTGTACATCTAATGCAAACCCTCCTGTTGAAAAGTACACTTTATATCGAAACGAGGAATTGATTCAGGAAAACAATGCTGGTCTATTCAAAGTGATGCTGGACAAAAAGGGGACAAGCAGATTTACCTGTAAACCTGAAAGCCAGATTGGAGTCGGTGAAAACAAAAGCTTAGCTCCGATCAACGTTACAGGTTTATATTTAGATCTTATTAACCGAGCGGGAAGTCTGTACGGGATAATCTTGACCGAGGTCGGAATGTACAGACCGAGCGCAGCGAGGTCTGTACATTCCGACCTCGGTCAAGATCATCCCGTACAGACCGAACAAGCTCGGTTGATAAGAGTTTTATTATATGACCACTTTTCATTGAAAAGGACAACATGTTTTCGCCGTAAGATTAATATGCGATTGGACCGGTTAATACCGGAGAATCTAGACCAGTCCGTGATGCGATCTATCCAATCAGATTGCTCGATTTGCTAGTGTCCAGGCTGTAAGATTCACGGTCGTATAATAAGATAAAATACTACTCGGTGCACTTAGACTTGGATCAAACGATGCAGTTCACATGAGCGCTAGCCGAAGCAAAAAAAAAATGAACTAAGAGAATGAATCCCCCCTAAATAGCCTTGTAACCATCATATGTGCACAGTTTGATGCTAATTTTAAACCATTTGCTTTTCTGCACGCGCATTTATTGCGCGCGCTCTACGCTGTTTGCTTACGTTTTTTGGGTTTTTCCGTTATTTCGACTCTGCCCTGGAAATACAGTCAATTCAAAAAATGTTGTCGTCGACCGGCTCAAACCAACGCCACTGGACCGAAAGAAATATGGGTAAAAATCACTGGAGCGATTAAATATTCGTTCTGAATAAATTGTTCCCGCTAGTAATAAGATAATAATGGCGAGAAACAATCCATCAAATGCATGTCTTCGGGTTTAGGGAAAGAAAAACAAAGTAATTATGATTCAGTTCACAATTTCGAAAATATGAAGGCATTAAAAAAAAACGTCTCCTTCAACACTTCCCGCTCGCCTACGAAAGGTTCGTGCTGTAAACCAGGCATAACTAGTCAGATAAAATTATGGAGTCAACTCGGCTTCAATGATTGCTACCCAGAACTCCTTTCGGTCCAGTCGCGTAGGCTTGAGTTGGTCGACGACAACATTTTTTGAATTGACTGTATATGAATTTGCACGACGAAAGCTTGGCAAATACGACCGGAATTTGAAGTAGTAATTTGTTCAAATTTCTGGAGTATCTTTACATTTATTTTCCAAAGCTTTCGACCTACATCGTCATCTTGAGAGCAGATTTGACCATTTGATGATAAGAAAAGCACAAAAAAACGTTAGCAAACAGCGTAGAGCGCGCGCGTACTATGCGCGTGCAAAAATCAAACGATCAAATGAATGATATCATTGGATGATATTTTTAGAATAGATTCTAAAAATAGCATCAAAGTGTGCACATGATGGGGCAAGGGGATTCCTTCTCTTAGTTCATATCCTCTTGACCGAATCTTATTACATCAAATAGGTTTCACTCATGTGAAGTTCGAAGTTTTCTGAGCCTGAGACAATTGAGACGATTGATCAAGAGAAGCACAATTAATCGTTAATTAAAAATGAAAATTTGCACGACCTTCTCGTACAATTCGTTATGAAAAGGTTCTCGTAATGTTTTAAAAGTTCTTAAATTGTTCTCGCCTGCAGGCTCGTGCAGTTACAATAATTTTTAAAACATTAGTTGTACTATTAACAACGAATTGTATCCCAGGTCGTTTTGATTTCCTATTCTAATAATAATTTCTTTGAATTTCTTTCAATGCAGAACCACCAAAAATCAGTAATTGTACGATATACGAAGGCGAAAAGGGATATGCTTCAGCAGTTGAAGGAAGAAATGTAACTGTGAGGTGTGATATCTCTGGTAGTGAGCCGTTAAACATAACATGGACCAATGGACAGCAAGTGTGGTATGACAACACTGTCACATTTGAACCAGTCAACAGGAGTGATACTGGTACTTATAATCTGACAGTGAGCAACGGAGAAGAATGTAACAAAACAGAAACGAGTTACTACCTAGACGTGTATTGTAAGTAGAACTGAAACTATGTTCTGGGCTATTTTATGGGGTTACATTCTTATGTTGTGCAAAACAAACTAGCAGAACCACAGGATACTAAAGTAAAGAAAGCTACACGACCAATCAATATGTGTTTAAACAATTATTGACCAATCTTTCTACTTTTCTTACTCAATATTGAAAGTATGACTATTAGAAATAATGTATTGATAGCTTTATTATTTTTCCAGATGTCCCAGAATCTACAACAATGGAAATCTATCCAAACAAGACTACATTTTGTCGTGGAGATCAGATCTACGTCAACTGTACAGCAAGTGCAAAACCACAAGCTAATTACTCGTTGTATCAAAACGACGAACGAATCGGTAATAGCAGGAGTAACCATTTTTTTCTCGATTTAAATACGTCAGGCAACATCTCCTTTACGTGTGTGCCTAGTAATGAAGCTGGATATGGGAGAAATAGCAGTGTTACACTGGAAGTGAAAGGTAATTTTATAATGATTCATTAGTATTGTTTCATTATATGTAAATAACTGTATACCATTTCCGTAATAAGTTTTCTCAATGAAACTACTAGCTGTAATAAATAAAAAAGGGTAGAAATTTTGGCTTCTGTGAATCACAATTTCTAATTCCAGAATCACTGACTTTGTAATTGATTGTGTAATTAATAGAAGTGAGGTATTGAATATGATTCATTTTAACTTATTATCATCAAAATTATTGCTGTCAAAAATGATGAATTACAAGTAGTACCTAATGGGTTCAGTAAATGCAATAAAGAGAAAGACAGAAAGGGAGGGAAAGACTTAACTGATTTTTCTTTTCCAAACTCGTTCTTGCTTTTGTCCTAGAAGCTTTTTTCCCAAAGCGATCAAGAGTTAATAAACATATAATTTCTTTCTTTCAATTTTTTCCCATGCAGCATCACCGGGAATCAGTCACTGTAAAATGTTAGAAAACGGAAAGGAAAAGGCTTATGCAGTTGAAGGAAGAAATGTAACTTTGGTGTGTGATATATCTGGTAGTGAGCCGTTAAACATAACATGGACTAATGGACGGCAAGTGTGGAATAACAACACTGTCACATTTGAACCAGTCAACAGGAGTGATACTGGTACTTATAATCTGACAGTGAGCAACAGAGAGGAATGTAACAAAGCAGAAACGAGTAACTACCTAGACGTGTATTGTAAGTAGAACTAACGTTACGTTCTGGGCTATCTTATGAGGTTACATTCTTATATTGTGCAAAACAAACTAGCAGAACCATAGGATACTAAAGTAAAGAAAACTACACGACCAATCTTTCTACTTTTCTTGAAAGCATGACTATTAGAAATAATGTATTGATTACTTGATTATTTTTCAGATATTCCAGAATCTACAACAATGGAAATCTTTCCAAACAAGATTACATTTTGTCGTGGAGATCAGATACACGTCAACTGTACAGCAAGTGCAAAACCACAGGCTAATTACTCGTTGTATCAAAACGACGAACTGATCGGTAATAGCAGGAGTGGCCATTTTTTTCTCGATTTAAATACGTCAGGCAACATCTCCTTTACGTGTGTACCGAGTAATGAAGCTGGATATGGGAGAAATAGCAGCTTAAGAATAGTAGTTCAAGGTACTTTTCTGTTATTGCTGGTTTTTTTTTTTTGTTGTTTTTTTTTTTTTTTTTTTTTTTTTTTTTTTTTTTTTTTTTTTTAAAGAATGTAATTGTTCAATTGGCCATGACATAATATAGTAGACTTTTTTAAGAATGGATTTTAGTCGCTAAAATTATCTTGAATTATTCTTTCATTTATTATATATTATTTTTCAAACAAAGAAACCCTCTCACGCCTCCTATAAACATATATTATTATTACCATGCACAAGGGCATATTGTTTTTGTCCATCACTTGGCTTTCTGAAAAACAAATATCAGGGAGAATATCACACAATTTTTGAAATTTTGTCATATACATAAAGGGTAGAAGCTTATGCATATGGCTGTATATATGTAAGTCAACCTTATTCCTCTCTCTTTAGTATCTTTTTTGTATTTGTGCAGAGCCCACGACAATTGCGAACTGTACCAAAATCATTGGCAACACTCATTTAGCTTATGAGGCTGTCAATGAAAATGAAAATGTAAAAGTGATGTGCAATATCTCTGGTAATGAACCACTGAACGTATCATGGAGATACGGAACTAGAGTATGGTATCAAGAATACCTGGTGTTTCCATCCATAAGTCGAAAAGATGCTGGGACATATGAAATTCTAGTTAAAAGTGGAAGACAGTGTAATCAGACAGCAAAACAGAACGTGACATTGAATGTACATTGTAAGTTTGAAATTATATTAATGTGCATACCTGCAGTTCGTTTCCATAACAAGCATACATTACAATATAATATACACTCGATTGCAGAAACGTTGTAGTATACATTTATACATTTATACAAATATGTAATGAGATGCATAATGCAAAATAGCCATTTTCAACGCTTAAAACCAACTTATTTATAATCTGTACAATCTAATAGACAAGAAAAAATATTTTCACAGTCATTGAATGAAACAAACAATAAATAACGCGATTTTTCTGTTTTGCATATCATTAAATATACTGAATAAATTAGGTATTTTTATAAATGTATACTACAACGTTTCTACAATCGAGTGTATATTAGATAACAGATAATACATAAAAGATAATACAATAAATTAAGCTAATGTAAATATGATGTTTGCATCTCTAGTCCAAGCGTAGTCTTCCCGCATCGAATCGTTTTAGTTCTAAAGGAGCTTTGCGTGATGACACTAAAGAAGGCTGTGGCGGAGACTAGTAAAAGCAAGACATTTTAGTAAATATGAACTAATAGCTATCAACTGCTTTTATTAATTAATGATATGGCAACAGATCCACCAGATAGAATCACGTGCAATAACAAGACAGTTCTGGAGGGTGATGATGTCCAACTAGTTTGCAGTGCTAATGGTAACCCACCACCTGATATGATGTGGATAAGAAATGGAAATATTCGAGGCATGGGGAGTACGTTACTAATCAAAGGTGTAACAAAAATTGAAGGAGGAACCTATACTTTCTTCGCCAACAACAGTCTTGGTCAAGACGTAAAGGAGATTTTCATAACAGTTAAATGTATGTATAAATTATAAATTTAATTTGATTTTGCAAGTTAAAGAAGTCTATTGGTGATATACAGACACGCATAGACGCATAAATATTATGCCTTATTTTGATAAAAATTCCCGCGTTGTTTTCATTAATTAAATAATACTATTTATTTGTGTGCCAGTTCTGTACTGAAGTACGCATATACTAATAATCAAGAAGAGTTATTTAGAATATTTTTTGAATTGCTTCTCTTTTTAAACAGACTTAGATCCTCTGGAAGTGATTGGATCAAGTAACAAGAGCTACAGTCAGTCCAATCCACTGGTATTGTTCAACCTTAGTATCAACGCATATCCCAGTAACACATCCTTGTCTTGCAACCCTTCTGCACCGAATATATTGACTACCATCACCAGCCATGATGCGGGATTAAATGGAAAACGGTATTTGGTTTTCGTTGTCATCCAGAAAGAAGTGGATAGTGCTAGCATTGTGTGTAAAGCTGAAAATAGCGTCGGTGTACGAGAAAGGACATTGTATTTTTACAGACAACCAATACGTGAGTAATGATAATGATAATTACAAATGTCACTAGCTTGAGCTGATCAAGTCCTGATCAGAGGAACTTCCTATAACCCATCATGCCATATTTGACTGTTTTTCGTTTCTACTTTAGTTTTCAAGGAAGCGTTTACCGGGCAGTTTAGAATAACAAACCAAGAATGGCAGGATGACCTTCAGGATGTAAAGTCAGCAGGCTACAATGATCTTAAACAGAAGTGCATCAAAATAGTAAGTAGCCATAGTCATTTTCGTTCGTTCGTTCGTTCGTTCGTTCGTTCGTTCGCTCTTTCGCTCGTTCGCTCGTTCGCTGCATGGTCATTATTTTCATGAAGATATCATAGAAATATAGATAAGTTATAAATTATCTATATTTTTATATCTTCATGTATTTCACAAGTGCTACGCGGTCCATATGTTCTCATTAGTTCATTTTATTGATTTCTAGTTAGAAGCTGCATACTCAGGTGTACAATATTTGGCTGCCGTGAACATAAAAGATTTCATGTAAGTATTCTTCAAACACATAGTGCCTATAGTTTCAGTAACTGCACTTATAATCGCTAATTAAGGACCGCCGCGAAATACAGCAGTAGAGCAGCTCGCCAGGGTCTGTGCTATAGATCCTCTCTCCTTACTGAATTTGAGCACAGGATAACTTTGCAGATAACGGAAAATCCACACGATATCTCCCCCCACATGAGTGATTTCGATATATTATGGTTTAACTTGAGCAAAGCTGTATTCTTTTTATCTTTACGACTTTCATTACAATAGTAAGGGAAGCATCATAGTGCGGTTTGAGCTCGAAGTCATTGGTAAAGTACCTGATCCACTGCTGCCTTTGAGAGATTATATCAAAAGACACGGAGAAGAGATCAATGGCTTACAGATAGACTACAACAGCATTCAGAAATCAAATGGTAAGATGGTTTAGCAGCTTGGATTCTACTCGGGGTAGGCCAAGAGTGTTTTTACTTTTGTTTTACCACTGCTTTCATCGCTACGCGGTCATGAAGACATAGGTCGCTACTGGGAAATCGAATGTGCAATAGACTGTCGTCAGTCGTATGTACCATGTATATACTTTTACGTACTCTAAGGATTTATTTGACAGGTGCGCGATGCTTAGTCTATATTGATTAATTTGGCTGTACCGACTTTCGTCTCGGTATAAACCCCTTTCGAATTCGAAATTACCGCTGTTTCTTGATTACAGACTCATTTGCACAGGGTTAGCCTCGAGTTTGTGCAGAATATTCACGTGTTCCAGTCAAGGTCCGTCGAGTTTCAAAGTGTTTGTATTGTTGAAGTTGTGCATTCTTTACTTTACCGTTGGTATTTGTGGATATTTAAACGCTGATACGAGGCTAACCTGTGCAAATGAGTCTGTAATCAAGGAACACAGCCGCGAGCGGTAATTTGGAATTCGAAACGGGTCTATTGCGTAGCAATGAAAATAGTGATAAAAATCTGTGGGACCATATTTGTATTGTATCGTAATAACATAAATAATCCTTTTGTAGACCTCAAAGAAAATACGCCGATTCCAACTGATAAAGACAACAAGACACTAGTTGCAGTTCTTGGAGTACTGTTTGCTTTGTCCATTGTTCTGAACATCATATTTATAGCGGGTTTCCTGTGGCTATGTAGAAGAGGTAAGATACGTTATTTTGGGTGCAAAAATATGGGACATGAGGGTAGAGAGTAAAAAAAAGGTGGAGAGAAAAAAAGATAAGATTAAGATTTTAATATTTTCTTCTTCTGATTATAGATTCAAAAGGAATTTCTGGGAAAAMGTACGTACCAATCTGAGACATGTAGATGATAAAAGGTCTGATTAATAAAAACAATAAAATTTTAATATCCCCTTTTGCAGATCGAACAAAAGTGACGAGAGAGGACAAATGGTAATTTTGTATATATATATATAAAATATCATCTAATATTATCTACGTGTTATTGTTTTTTGGCATGAAATTTGGATGTAGCTATCCATGTATATTCATCCATCCATCCATCCATCCATTCATCCATCCATCTGATTAAAATAATTAAATGTTAATATCCCCTTTTGCAGATCGAACACAGGTGACGAGAGAGGACAAATGGTATTTTGTATATATTTATATATA